TGCTGTATAATAATTCACCAGTAGCAGTGGAAGATCTTGATACCAAGTTTTCTGATGTAGCCATATATGTGGTTGAACATCAGAAAACATGGAATCAAGATCTTCCACTGTTACTGGTGAATTATTATACAGCAGTATATGAAGCTACCAGTAACACACAATCATCACTGATGTTTAGGAGAGAACTGAAAGAACCATTGGATCTTCTGTATTTTCGTCCAGAGAACAGTCACTCAGAAGAGTCTTACAAAGGATATATAGAGAGATTAATGAACACCATTGATGATATACTTAATAGAAATATTTAAATCAGCTAGTGATAAAATGGAAAGTTGCTAATTGATTTAACAGTGTGTAGTTGTATCTCCCCATCACGCCATCAGAGCATGGATGAAAGGCTGTTGTCCTGGTTTTGTAATCCCCAAGGATCTGGCACATTTCAACAAATACGTTTCATCTAAAACTCTGTCCTTGATCCAAGTGAACCTCCATAGGCATGCCAAATCCCGAGACAAATTCGTTGATGTGTTTGTTTGCAAGAGTTTCTACTTTCTGTTTAGGAATAGTATATGTTTCTGGTTATTTGACGAAATAGCCCATAACAACCATATATATTCCCACTATTACTTTGTGAAAGTGGACCTAGCTTAACAACAGCAACTATCTCCAGTGATTCTTCAACACAATACTGTTGTAGTTGATCATGCTGTTTCTTTTATGGGTCTTTCTGATCCTGCTGAACTCATATGTTTTACACCAATTCTTCAAAGATCCCCACCACCCAAACCAGTAGAAGCATTCTCTTACTTGCTCCATTGTCTTCTTAACACTAAAGTTGTTAGAAGGTTATGGAAGTGATAGGATACTTCAGAATGTAGATAATGGAGAAGTATCAACTCTAATTATTGTTTTTGTCCACTTGTATCTTCTCATTTCCAACATTATAAGCCCTCTTACAAGCACAATGAGCCCAATACATCTTTGCTTTAGCCTCTCTTCTTGTTTCTTTTCTTTCTCCTCCAACCACTATTGTAGTCTCTCTTCTTGTTTATTTTATCGTTCTTCTTGTATATTTTCTTTCTCCTCCAACAACTGCTGTAATCTCTCTTCTTGTTTTTTTTTCTCGTTCTTCTTGTTTCTTTTCTTTCTCCTCCAACCACTATTGTAGTCTCTCTTCTTGTTTATTTTATCGTTCTTCTTGTATATTTTCTTTCTCCTCCAACAACTGCTGTAGTCTCTCTTCTTGTTTATTTTATCGTTCTTCTTGTATATTTTC